AAAAATCTCTGCCAGGCATAGGCGGGTGTGACTCCCCCGGCCTGCACCCCCAGACCCTGGGACCTCACCTGAGAGCTTCCAATAAACGCGATATTTCGCTCTTACCCTGCTTGTCTTGGTCAATTTATTGGCTTTGGTCAGATTAAATATTACATCTCAGATTAAACCTTACATTAAACCTTACACTGTACACGTGGCCGATAGCACATGTCCTAGGAAGATTCCCCTAGACCAGCGGTTCTCAACCCGTGGGTCGCAACCCTTTGGGGGTTAAACGACCCTTTCACAGGGGTCGCCTAAGACCATCAGAAAACACATATATATAACTACAGATTGTTTTTGTGATTAATCACTATGCTTTAATTATGTTCAATTTGTAACAGTGAAATTGGGGGTCACCACAACATGAGGAACGGTATTAAAGGGTCGCGGCATTAGGAAGGTTGAGAACCACTGTCCTAGACAAAGAGAGGTAGAGGTAACTAGAAAAGGCCCCAGCCCATTTTTTTAAATGACCCAATGGGAGACAGCAAGACCTAGGCGACCTGTTGGGAAATAGGTGACCAAATAGTACTCAGCCAATGAGGAACTGGAGGAGGGTCTCAATAAATGGGCTATGTTCCCTGCCCCACATGTGTTCCTGTGGGCGCCCACTCTCGAGAGTGTTAGTGAAAGTCTCATTTTTGCCAGGCTTCTGTTTCCTAGTCTGTCATTTGAAATTGGACAGGCGAGCTATTTCTCACAACTTCAATGAGCCCTGGGGTGATGGATTAGAATTGGAAGTATTGATGTGAACTCATGGTTTTCAATATATTTAGATAGATGGAGAGATACAAGATAGATAGGTAGATAGATAGATAGATAGATAGATAGATAGATAGATAGATATTATGTTACAGAATTTACCAGGCCACCAAAAAAATACACAGGAGTACTTGGAGATACAGGAAAAACCCATTGATTTTCAGATGTTTCCCATGTACTAGTACAGTGACTCAAGGGAGATTTCTCTACAAATCCTGAGCAAACCACTATGGAGGAAGTTCTCTCTTTATACCCTTTGGTTTCTTTGTCCCTGAAATATGGATGGGACTTCGGACCTTTCGTGGGCTTTGCAAAAAGCCCGGTGTGTTGGGATGCGGGCTGTGAGACCACACCTAAAGGCCTGGCCTGGCACCAGCGCCGATAACCTGCTCTGGGGGTTGTGTATTGTTCATGGTTTATGGCCTCTGTAAAATGTGAGTATTTAGGTAAACCGGTCTTGCAAGACCAGATTGTGGAGAAAGGGGCAGTGACTTAATTATAGGCTATCGAGAATGTACATCAGGTTACTGGCACAGAGTCAGATTGCTAGCCCCCCCAAAATGTCTTATTTTCCCCATCAGATAGATATGCAAATAAATATAGTTGTAAATGTGTGTATGTGTTTGTGTGTGTGTTGTGTATGTACTAGTAAATGTGTGGGTGTATATTCCCAACTGTAACCACTGAGCGGGCCCTGGAACAGGGACACCCTCAGATCTCAGTTTCTAAGTACCAATCTCCACTAAATGGGACTAGGACTCCTTAGAGAATTAATTCATCCCTGGGACAGGGAAAGCACAAGATGCACCTGGAACATCTTTTCCCAGAAAGCAAGGAAATGATCAAAGAATGATGAGGACATGTCAAAAGAACCAGAAGACCATTTGAAGAGGTTCCTACTAGCCAAACTGGGACTATTTGAACATCAAAATAAATAAGAAGAATGGATTTAACCCACTGAATAACATAGGAAACCATGAGTCCATACATAAGTAAACTGATTGACTATTTAATAAAGAATAGAATCCTATATAATAAAGAGCTAATATGCTAATTAGACCCCAGCAGAAGCTGGGGCTGTGAGGGCTGGCTGAGGCAGCAGGGGCTGTGAGGGCCAAGCCCCTTGCATGAATTTCATGCATCAGGCCTCTAGTATTTATATAAACTCTCAAATACTAACCAAATTACAAAAAGAATAAGAGTAATGTTGAGCTATGGTTATGTAAGATGGAAGCTATATGAAAGCTGCAGCGACCTCTCTACTATTTTTGCAACTTCCATTGAGTTTATAATTTATTACAAACTTTTAAAAGATTTTTAATAATAATAAAAAAAGAGTAACTTTAGATTGGAGAAGCCTGGCCAACATCACACTAATCAAGAAGTGAAAGTTAGCCCTGGCCAGTGTGGCTCAGTTGATTGGAGTGTCTTCCCACACATCCAAAGGTTGTGGGTTCAATTCCTGGGTACATACCTAGGTTTTGGGTTTGATCCTGTTTGGGATGCGTACAGGAGGCAACTGATAGATGTTTTTCTCTCACATCAATGTTTCTCTCTCTCTTTCTTTCCCCTTCCTCTCTAAAAATCAATTTAAAAACACACATACAGCCCTAACCAGTTTGGCTCAGTGGATAGAGCGTCGGCCTGCGGACTGTAGGGTCCCAGGTTCAATTCCAGCCAGGGGCATGTACCTTGGTTGGGGGCACCTACCCAGTAGGGGGTGTGCAGGAGGCAGCTGATCCATGTCTCTCTCTCATCGATGTTTCTAACTCTCTATCCCTCTCCCGTCCTCTCTGTAAAAAATCAATAAAATATATTTTTTTAAAAAACATACATACAACCAACACATATACTCAGGATGAGGATAAAATACAAATATACCAAACTGCCTGAGTTTGAATCCTGGCTGTGCCATGCACCAGCTGTGTGAATTAACTCTCCATGACTCAATTAATCGGTGAAGTGAAGATAATAATAGTACCTACCTCACAGTGCTGTTGTAATTAACAGAATGAATAAATGAAAAAGGCTTTGAAAATAAGTGGCACATGACAACGACTTTACCATAAAAGTATTGTTGTTGTTGTTTTTTATGTAGTCAAATGTACTGTTGAGCCATTGCAGGTGCCATTTCAAAGAAAAACTTTTATTTGCCTTGGCTTCCAATTCCGGAAATGAAATTTTTAAAAAATAATCATTTTAAGTTTGGCTGATAATATGCACCATTCGGATACCAAGCCATCCTCATAAAAGAAGGCACTGATGTTTTACAGTCACCCGATCTGCTCCTCACAACAACCTTATCATTACCCTCATTTCATCTACCTGGAAACAGATTCAAAGATACCAAATGGTTTGCGAAAGCCCAGCTTCCTTTGTGCATTGATTTGCAAATGTGATCTGATGCCTACCCCACTGTTCTTTCAATAGAGCCACTAACTGGCTGTTTGCCATTCGCTCACTCAGCAAGCCCCCAGCCAACACCTTCTGACTTCCTCCAGTGACCCCCAGCTCTTCAGCTGAGAATCCAGTTTGGCTCCTCCCGCAGAGTTCAAGTTTGTGTCTCCCATCCCTTCCTTCCTCCCCAGCCACCACACTCTGGTTCTACGCTGCCCTTTCAAGGGGACTGTTCCTGCAATAAGCTCCTAGCAAAAGTGCTAGCCCCCAGCTCTCAGTCCCTCAGAGGCTTCCCTTTGCTTGCTCCTTTCCCTGTTTGAGTTGACCCAACCCACCTTGTTGGTGTTCCTTCCAAGACTCCCCTCCCATCCAGCCAAAAGGAATGCCTCACTATTCCTTGAATCAGGTTGTGTATACAGCTTGAAATTTCTCTCTGTCTTCTTTCAGGCCACTCAAGCTTCATGAAGCTGTCCTTTATTCTGGAAATACTCGCTCCTCTCATTCCCCTCACCACCTCTTCCTACTCCACGCCGTGCATTTATCTGTAAATTCTTTGTTTTTTTAAATACTTTTTTATTGATTTCAGAGAGGAAAGGAGAGATAGAAACATCAATGATGGGAGAGAATCATTGATCGGCTGCCTCCTGCACGCCCCACACTGGGGATTGAGCCCACAACCCAGGTACGTGCCCTGACTGGGAATTGAACCATGACCTCCTGGTTCGTAGGTCGACGTTCAACCACTGTGCCACTGCGCTGGGCTGCCTGTAAATTCTTTGAGAGCAGAAATCCTACCTTCTTTGTTGTTGATTAAATGATTTCACACACAGGTACAGTTGATAAATCCTACAACCTAAATTCCAATGGGTTCAACCACTCACAGGGGCCTGGGTTAACAGGGCAAGGCACATGGCACACCAGGCCCATTTGAGGCAAAAAACAACCCTGGCCTATTTGAACCCAGCTCTCTTCCCAAAACTGTCATTTCTGGTCCAGTGCCCATCACAGGCTTCCATTTCCCTTTTAGAAGATCTGATGGCTGTCAGCAGATACCCGAAACAGGCACAGCACTGAGAATATGCTGAAAATATTGGTTGTGTGAACAAACTTTGTGCTGGAAAGAACATCAGAACATCAGGTCAACTACCTTGTTTCAACATAAGAAATCACGGCACAGAAAGGGAAGAGACTCACCCCAGGTCACACAGCAAGTAGGAAACAGAACTAAACCTAGAACTAGAAGCGAGGCCTTCTGACTGCAGTTTTGGACAATCTCCTCTGCACCTTGGAGCTACGCGGACCTAGGATTAGCAGCCTCAGCCTCCTGCTGTCACTGCTGAAGACACCACCACCTGTTCGCCCGTTCCTTTTTCCCTCCCTCATCTCCGAGCCTCCTTCGCCCTTCCCACAACACAATCCTTCCTCCTCCCCAAGTCTCAGTTCTCCCCGAGAGGCAGGAGAACTTCCACAGGCTGGATCAATGGGCTGCTAACTAACAGAGAAGGCAACCGGTGCCACCCACCCCTCTAGGGAAGGCAGCCTGGAGCTTCTAGGTTTCGAGCGCAGCCTCCCGCCCCGCCCCGTCCCGCCCCGCCCCGCCCACTAGCGTTATGCCCCGCCCCCAAACGCGCCGGTCCCAAACACGCCTGCGGACACGCGGACACTTCGCCAGCCTTGGGCGGAGCCGAACCCCCAGAGGGCGGAGCCCTCTCCGTAGGATCCATCCTATTGGCGTAGACAGTCAGAAGCCTCGTCCAATGATAAGGAAGGGGCGGCCGCCATGGCCCTATCCGCTGCGAAAGCACTAAAACGGACGCCACTAACTGGTGGGCGCTGGATCTTGGTCTTTCCGGGTCCTTCCACGCCTCGCCACTGCTTCTGCCGAGCTTGGGCCCGAGGGCGAGCCGGGGAGCACCCTCTAATCGAGTAAGTCTTTGCCGGCTGGGGTGACCGTTGGTGTCGGTCCAGGGGCTGCAGCTGCTCCCTGGACAGAGCTCGGGATGGGTCAGGGGCGTGGGGGGAGGAGCCGAGCACGTGGGTCGCCGGCCTGACTGTGGCGTGGGTGGGAGCTGGGGTCTTGGACTGGAGGAGCCCGGTTTGTCCGGTCCGGTCGGTTCCGCAGCCGCAGACACGGTGGGGCGGAGGGAGCTCCGAGTGTCGCTGCTCAATGTCGGACCTGAACGAGCGCTTTTCTAAACCCTGATGCCGAAGGTGCCATCCAGTACCTTCCAGTGGCCGGTGGGCGAGCTCTGGGCGGCGGGTCCCCTGGAGCAGCCTGTGGTTGAGAACCTGTGGGTCGCGACCCCTTTGGCGGTGGAACGACCCTTTCACAGGGGTCGCCTAAGACCATCCTGCATATCAGATATTTACATTACGATACATAACAGTAGCAACATTACAGTTACAAAGTAGCAACGAAAATAATTTCATGGTTGGGTCACAACATGAGGAACTGTATTTAAAGGGCCAGAAGGTTGAGAACCACTGCTGGAAGTTCAGGTTGTGGTTGGCTGTTGCCCACCGGGCAGTGGAACAGCTGCCGCAGGCTGGGCGCCGCAGATGCTGACAATCGTGAGGTTCCCCGCTCACGGGCCCGGAGAGGTCGTAGGTAGCACCTTTGCAGACTAGTAAGAGGCCCATCGAGGCTGCCACTGGCCCTGGGTAACCGCACGAAGTAGCAAGTAGTGGAGCCCAGGGTTGGACCCACTTTCGGGGTTGCATATCGAGTGCATTAGTGGGAAAGCCGCCTTTTCCACGTCAGTACCTGCGTGTCCAGAAAGCCTTGTGTCTCCCTTTACCTAAGAAACCATGATACCCCCCTCCCCTTGATGGGTGTGGGGACATTGTCTTGTAAATCAAACAGCCAGAAGGAAAGAAAGCGTGTGTGTCTTTCTGGAGAAAACAAAATTCCAAAGCTCCAGATTCTAGTTTTAAATAATGGTGACAATTGTAGTTGGGCGTCCTGTGGTCACCAAGCCCAGGCGCCAGACCAGCAGGGCCACGCTACTTAGCCGTCTACGCCTGTTTCCTCATTTGTAGAGTTAAAAAATATTTATATATACCCACCCAGGGTGGGCACAGCAAGCTCCTTGTAGAGGTCGTTTTGTATTCTGCTCCATAAACCGATGGCATCAGCATTTTCCACATTACAGTCCAGTAGTCTCTATAATCTTAATTCTCCTGTTGTTGGATATTTAGGATTTTTTTTTCCTCTGAAAGTGGATTTTTATTGGGACCCTTACCAACACAGCTCCACAAAAAGTTCATCCCCCTCCAAATGTGTATCCTTGTTTTTAAATGGTATCATTATTTCCTTTTATTTATTTATTTTTAAAAACCTTTATTGTTGAAAGTATTACATATGTCCCCCTTTTCCCGTCCATTGACCTCTCCTACCCCACCCCTGCCTCCACCCCCACCCCAAGCTTTCACCACCCTATTGTCTGTGTCCATGGGTTATGCCTATAGGCATGAGTTCATTGGTTGATCCCACCCCTGCCTTCCCTGCCTTCCCTCTGAGGTTTGACAGTCTGTTGGATGCTTCTATGTCTCTAGATTATTTTTGTTCATCAGTTTATGTTGTTCATTAAATAATTCATCCTAAATTATTTAGGATGTTTCTTTAAATATGATAGTACTGCTGTAGTAAATCTTTCTCGTTTCTGAGATAGAATTTACTTTTTGAAAGTGTACAGTTTGTAGTATATTCGAAAGATTGTGTGACCATCACGTGATATCTCTTATTCCAGAACATGTTCATCACCCTAAAAAGAAACCGTATGACCCCAGTGCGTCCCAGGCACCTCCGGGTGGTGTTGCTGGGCTCCAGCCCCAGCCCTGTGCTAGGCAGGGTGTTGGGGCCCTGCTGCCTGGGCTGCCCCACCTGAAGGCTTAGGTGGGGCAAATAGAGCCTCTCGCTCACATTGAATTTCAGCCTTCAGGGAGTTCTGGACCTACCTCTCTGGGCTACAGGGAGGGGACTGAGGCGTGCAGCCTGGGAAGAGGCTGACTGCAACCTCTTGTGTGGCCTAGCGTGGCCTCCACCCCGCAAGCCTTAAGGTTCCTGGGTCTGGGATTTTTCTGGGCCTACAACTTCCGGATTTTTCAGGCAGGCCCAGAATGGTGTCTTGGGGCAAAAACACCATTTATCCAGAAACCTGTGAAATGCTCAAAACAAAAGCACTGGCACTTTGGAGTGCAGAGCCAAGTCTTTGCCAGTCCTGTGCGGAAAACTGCCAGGCTGCGAGACAAAGCCAATCTCTGGGTGAATGAGATCCAGGAGTAGGTCTGTACAGAGACCCCAAATTGAAGCAGGTCCTGAAAAACTGCTCAGGTGTTTTCAACAAGTGAAGGTTGGAACTTCAGGATTATGGAAAAGTGGAGGTGGAAAGACTTGCAGCCAAAAGAGTTGAACTTTTGAAAGCTCATTGGAACCATTGTAAAACTGAAATGGGATGACCACAGAGCAACATTAGCTGCAAGGAATGGAGAAGCTAAGCAGACAAGTCAGCATGTTTCATGTTACAGAGAGCTACAGGGGATGCTCTCATCTGGAGGAAACAGTAGGTTTAAAAAGCAGATATAGGATATAAAGAAAATATTTTCAAAATTTATCACTACTGAAATGTTATTCACAGCAAAACTTTGGAGGTATACTCTGCTGTCTACCAAAATACACAAAAGATTTAGAGGTTTTTCAGAAGCTCTAGGTATCTGCCAGATTATCCATCTTGTTTAGATACTGTAAGAGCAAATTCACAGTTGCCTTTTCAGAGATTGTTGTAAGCTGAGAGGGTCTCTGGAGCAGGACAGGTGTCCACCTGTGGACTAAGAAAGGATCAACAAGCAGAAGATGAAGAATTAGATGTAAAAGAAGAAGAAATTAATTTCCCTAAGTACACTTCTTTTTTCCCTTTTCATCTTAAAATAACTCAGAATCCAGGATTACTATATTTAAAACTATACTGGCTTGCTATGTTAAGCCTCAAAATGAAATGGTACTGGAAATAGAGAAAATTAAAGGAAATTTATGCTGACTGAAAAATTAAGGTTTTAAAAATATTACATGCCTAGGCATTTCAAACTCCTACTTAGTAATATGTGATCCTTTTGTATGAGCCCTCACCTTGGATTTCAAGGTGCTTCATATTAATGCACTGTACCTGGCTGGGAGTGCTATTATAAGTAGTAAGTAGGCAACAACATCTAAAAGATCTACCAATTCCACTTAGCTTCTCTGAGGTTGACTCCAGAAAAAGATTTCATCTCGTCATTCTGATTAAATGTAAATTCTATTGCATGAAACTTTAAGTAAAAAGACGTTTTCCATTTTTAAGCTTTTACTGAAACATAAAGTATCATTATTTTATCTGTAAATTTACCAAACAGAATAAAGGAAATATGATACCAATAGATCTGTGTTTTACAAATTCCTGAAGCATAAATTTTAGTTTAGATAAAAGTCACAGTAACCTGATTATGGTTTTAAAACAAAACTGCCGTCATACTAAAGTATATCTGGTGCTACAGCTTTTAAATATATATATTTTTATTGGTTTCGGAGAGGGAGAGAGATATAGAAACATCATTGATGAGAGGGAATCATTGATTGGCTGCCTTCTGCACGTCCCCCACTGAGGATCGAGCCCACAACCGGGCATATGCCCTTCACAGAATCGAACCTGGAACCCCTCAATCCGCAGGCCGATGCTCCATCCACTGAGCCAAACTGGCGAGGGCAGTGCTACAGCTTTTGAAAAGCTAGTAATCTGGTGGAATCTACGAAAGCATAAGTATACATAGACTATCGTAAGTCCTTTAAAATTCTATAAAAATTTTATCAAGCTACCACCTAGTTAATAAGGTATAACCTTTCCCTTAGTCTCTTATTCCTGGAAGTATAAAACAATTTAATCAGCACTTATCATCTCATTTGTGATAACTGGGAAGAACAGTTCTTCATAACAGAACAATGGACTAGCAAGAAGCTTTAAAAAAAAAAAAAAGAAGACCTTTGTATTAGTCTCCTTATTCTCTGCCTCCTCTCCCTCCACCCCAGCCCCTATAAAATACTGTGTGTGTCTGTGTGTGTGTCTGTGTCTGTGTGTCTGTGTCTGTATTTGCCTATTCTGGAGATTTCATATATGTTGAATCGTTCAATTTTATGTCTGACTTCTTTCACTTAGCATATATTTTCAGGGTTCATCCTTGTTGTGTCATGTACTTCATTCTTTTTATGGCCAAATAACATTCTGTTGCATGGAGATGCCACATTTTTATGCATTCATCAGCTGATGGAAATATGGGCTGTTGCCACTTTTAGGCAATTATGAATAACGCCACTATGAATGTTCCTCTCAAAATTTTTGTGTGACCATGTGTTTTCATTTCTGCTGGGTTTTGCTGGCTGATATGGTAACTCTATGTTGAACCTTTTGAGGAGCTGCAAAACTTCCTGATGTGGTGGCAGTATTTTACATTCCCACTAGCAAATCAAGAAAATTTGTTACAGAATTTGTGAAATGTTTGGTTAAGTGCCATACTCATTAAATTTTTCTTTCTTTCTTTGTATTGAAATAACCCCAACTCACAATCATAGGTTGACACGGAAGTGGTTGAGTAAATGCTGAATTCTGGAATGTAGGTCCAGACTTCTGGCGCTCTGTTTGATGCTAACAGGCACTCTCAACTCAAAAGTAGAAGTTGGGGCCCAGGCCCGCATGGCTCAGTGGTTGAGCGTTAACCTATGAACCAGGAGGTCACGATTTGATTCCTAGTCAGGGCATATGCCCAGGTTGCTGGCTCGATCACCAGTGGGAGGGTGGGCAAGAGGCAGCTGATCAATGATTTTCTTTCATCATTGATGTTTCTATCTCTCCCTCTCCCTTCTTCTCTGAAATCAGAACATACATATATATATTTTATTTTTTTTTTTAAGTATAAGATGGGAAGTAAAGGCAAATAGACTTCTATTCTTTGGTTACATTCAACCCATTTTTTCCCAATTTTGTTACGGCATTTGAATGTGTTTTTTAAATGTATTAGGTCAGATGTCATCAGTGTCTCCAGTGAGTGGAGAGATAAAAATGACCAGGTGTTGAGAAAATCTGAAACTTACAGCAGTTGGTCCGTGGACCACAGTTTAGTCTTTTTATAAAATGAATGTATTCCCATTGCGAAAACTTGTGATATTTTGATGATTAAGTGATAGATTCAGGTTATAAAAGATAAGATTTTTAAAAGCCACTTGAAATAAATATGGCAATATCATTCCTTATTTCTTTTTTAAAAAAGCTTGGTCACATCCTTCCTTTTAACTGCTAGTGTGCGCTCAAAGCTAAAAGACTCCTTAGAAAGCATACTGAGAAGCCATGCACACTAGACCCCGGTTAATTATGTTCACAGTTTTCCCTGCTCAATACTAAACTATTCTCTGCAAACAGGATGTGTATAGATTGAAGGAAAAAGTATGTGCTCTGGTATTATCTGGTAAGAAGAAGAAAGAAGCACACTTAAGAGAGATCTCATCTCAGGCTCAAACTATTGTCTTAAAGTAATTGTGAGAGTCTGTCAGCAGCTCACACAGTGACCCAGGGGACGGAGGTTAGCAGGTTGTCAGGCCAGGTGTCAACTGTGAGGTAGGAGAACTCAGCCAGAAAAGTGGCTTCAGATACATTGGATTTTATCAGTGTCTCCACCTGGAAGGCTGCCTTTTACAGATGAGGCTTGGGGTGGCGGCTTTGATGACAACCAGGTTGGGTTTGGTTGTGAACATGAAGGAACTATCAAGAAGTGCACAGAAAAGTGCATGCACCCACATGTTTGTATGTAATTTTCTTTTTTTCTCATATAGGAGCAGAAATGCATAAAAGCAGCTGGAAAAGTAGAAGACATGGAAGAAGGAGCCAGCGGCAGAACCCTAGACTCAGACAACACAGACCTAACGAGAGGCAAGTGCTGTTCCCCAGTGCCATTCTGGCATTGTCCAGCACCCTCCCGTGCACGTGGGTCCCTGGGCATCTCGTCAAAATGCAGGGTCTGAGGTGGGGCCCAGCGAGAGTCAACACTTCTGACAAGCTCCCAGGGGAAGTTGCTGCTGCAGGTCAGCCTGCCTCCCACACCTTGAGTAGTGAGGAGATATGGCCACACTCTTCTTTGTTTTCAGAGTGACCATGACTTCTGGCCAGAGCATTAGCCATGAGATTAGAGTAGACATTATCTGATACTACTGAAGGAGGATTGTTTCTCCATTTTATAGACTCCCTCTCTTCCTGTCTTTTTTTCCCCCATCCAATGACAATAGCATTCTGGAATTATAATTAATTAATTCAGTAAATCCTGAGAAAGAAGCTATATATATATATATATATATATATATATATATATATATATATACACACACACATATAAAATATAGTATTTAAAAACACAAAAAGGTATAAAGAATAGTACAATGAATGTGCACCTTCCACCCAGCTTAAAAAATAAAGCCTAGTCAGTACTTAGTTGAAATCCCAATATGAACATTTTCCACTCTATTTATTTTTCTGCATGAAGGAAATGCAAGCATCCAGTTTCAGAACAAGATTCCCCCATCACCTCATGGCAGGAGAGGACACCTCTTCACAGTCAGGGTTGCTGGTGTGACTTCTGGCCATAAGAAGTCAGCACAGCCGAAACCTGTTTGGCTCAGTGGATAGAGCGTCGGCCTGCAGACTAAAGGTCCCAGGTTCGATTCCGGTCAAAGGCATGTACCTGGGTTTCGGGCACTTCCCCAGTGGGGGATGTGCAGGAGGCAGCTGATCGATGTTTCTATCTCTCTCCCTTCCTCTCTGTAAAAAATCAATAAAATATATTAAAAAAAAAAAAAAAAAAGTCAGCACAGCCCCCACCTCACCAAAGGGGACCTGCCTGACAATTTTAAACTCTTCCATACTCCAGACCTCCTTTCAGAAGGAATAGGTTTCTAGTTATAAGGTGTCAAAGGCCATGATGCTTCTTTAGACCAGCTTAAACCAAACAATAACAAAAAGCATCAAAATGGTGTGGAATGGCCTGGCTGGTGTGGCTCAGCAGTTGAGCATCAGCCTAGGAACCAAGAGGTCACCAGTTTGATTCCTGATCAGGGCACATGCAGGAGGCAGCCAAATTGGTTATGTTTCTCTCTCGTTGATGTTTCTATCTATCCCTCTCCCTTCTTCTCTCTATAAAAAATCAATAAAAACATTTTTTAAAAATGTGGAAGGAACAAGGGCTTTGGAATTAAGAAGTCTGAGCTTGACACACTGCTTTTTCCTATAGGCAAGTTACTTAATCACTCTGAGTTACTCTTGTACAATACTTCTCTTGTGATGTTCACAACAGTGTATATACAGCCCCCAACGGGCTGCCTGGCTCCTGGTAGGCCCTCCGTACGGGATGGGCCTCTTTAGGTGCAGAATAAAACGTTACTGTCGGCCGAAGTCCCAGACTTGACCAGTATTGTAGAAAGATGGGGGCAGTGCCCAGTGTTTGTATGTTTTGAAAGGAGAACCATGGATACTTTCTGTGCCCCAGGCCTTCCCACAAGAGCACAGTATGCAGTACAATGTGATCTGTGCGAGAGTCTCCACTCAGCTTTGGCAGAGCTGTGTGGAAACACACTGGACAGCCACCCTTTGAGCTCTGTGGAAAGAATGGGGCAGCAGTCCTTGGACTAGAAACACAGACATTTGTCATGACACTTCATCCTCCTTTCCTCCTGCTGCTGATCACAGATGAGCTGCCTCAGGAAGGTCTGGGCCATAAAAAGGGAGAATAAATTTTCCCTGAAACCATGCGTCCTTAGTATTTATAGACAAAAGAGGAAGTTCTTTCATTCCTTCAACCTCGTTTTGCAATTTGTGCTCCTTTTGGTGTGGAGGAGGGAGAGGGGAAGTTCTTGATTTTAAAGAGGATTTTATCAGGATTCTAAACTTAGGTCTTTTGCACTGTCATTATATCCTTTAGCCTATAATTGCCATGGACGCTGCCTGTAGCTTTGCAAAATGAGTGTTTAAACTATGGCTCTATCTCAGTATCACTGAGCACATCACTTCTGTGTCCTGAACCCCAATTTCTCCATCTGTAAAGTTGGGTAGCCAAGTACAATTTAAACTCTGTATTGCTGGATCCAGTAAAGAATGAAATTCACCTGGCTTTATAAATGAGCCCAGCTGGTAGAATTCTTTATTATTATTATTATTATTGTTTAAAGTATTACATATGTCTCCTTTCTTTTTCCCTGATTGATCCCGCCCCCAAGACACGCTTCCACCGCTCCAGTGTCCTTGTCCATTGGTTATGCTAATATGCATGCATATAAGCCCTTTGGTTGATCTCTTAAACCACCACCACCACCACCACCCACCCGCCTTCTCTCTGAGGTTGGACCGTCTGTTCAGTGTTTTTTTGTTTCTAGATCTGTTTTTGTTTTTGTTCATCAGTTTATGTTGTTCATTATATCCCACATATGAGTGAGATCATGTGATATTTATCTTTCTCCAACGGGCTTATTTCACTTAGCACAATGCTCTCCAGGTCCATCCATGCTGTTGCAAGCGGTAAAATTTCCTTCTTTTTTACCGTAGCATAGTATTCCATTGTGTAGATGTACCACAGTTTTTTAATCCACTCATCTGCTGATGGGCACTTAGGCTGTTTCCAGATCTTAGCTATTGTAAATTGTGCTGTTATGAACATAGGGGTGCTTGGTAGAATTCTTATTGGCAAAGACTTCTGGTCTTTTCATCCAGAAAATTCCAAAAGACCTCATGAAGCGCTCAAGTGAGGAGCTGAGAAAAGGGAATTACTGTGACGTCATCCTCTTAAGGATGAGAGACAAAACCTTGCTCTACCTGGTGCGTTTGCAATAGGTAAACCACTGTTAAGGAAAAGCGGGGTTAATGCTCCCCAAGTAATGGAAGGTGGGACGGTCCGGGGTGAAGGCTGTGGCACTGCCTGAGCTACCCCTGCCAGGACCCCACAGTCAGAGAATGACTGGGCCTCCAGCCCTTCCCTGCACGTGACCATGACTGTATCGACAGGTGTAACACAGGGGCACAGCAAAGCCCACAGGATTCCGACCATGGCGATGGGGAGGTTCCGTCGACCTCGACCAGCACAGCTGGGAGTTCTTCTGTGCCAGGTAAGGCAGTCTGCTGGTTAGGACTCCTGGCCCTCCCCACAGGGAAAGATGAAACCTAGTCCTGACTCGTCAACTGGTTATGTCTGTTCAGGCCGCCCTTCCTCTTGTGTGTCTGCACTTGCATGAGGGTGAACTCCATGTGTGTTACCAGCTCATTTGGGCTTAAAGGAAATTCTGGGAACAAATGGGAACAGTAAAGGGAGGAACTGGGTACGCCAAGAACTGTGATCCTGAGGCACACAGCACCCCCACCCCTGAACTGGGCCCAGGGTGGTGACTGACAATGCTAGCCCACCTCCCGCCCCTTAGAAAAGATAGGCAGCTGTGAGCGGGGTGGACAGGCCACTGGGCTCCTTTCTAGAAGGGTCAGGTCACAGTGTTTTAAGTTGGATTTTATTTCTTTTGACTAAAGATCTACCAGGGTTTTACTTTGACCCCGAAAAGAATCGGTACTTCCGCTTGCTCCCTGGACATAACAACTGCAACCCCCTCACAAAGGAGGGCATCCAGCAGAAGGCAATGGAGGACAAAAGGCTGCAGCTGCTAGAGGAAGAGGACAGGCAGACAAAGGTGGGCTCCACGCTCGGGGGGCCGCCCGTCCCCTGCACTCCTGCCAGCCCGCATCCACGGCTGAAGGCGGGTGCCCATTCAGCGCCCCTGCACGCTCCGCTTCGTGCACTTCTGGGATGTGGTGGTGACTTTTCCCTGACAGGAACCTGACGAAGAGAACAGAACAAGCGAGCGATCCCCTCCCACTCCACTTTCCCAATTTGCAGTGTTTCATCAGTAATTCTCACATTTGTCCTTCCCTGGGGGGATCTTGAAAAGCAGCATGATACAGTTTCAGTAACTGTATATTTTAAATAGAAAACCAGGGTACATGGTTTGGATATGAGGGTTTCTTAGATGCCAGGACATTTGGATGGTTACGGGGCAACAGAATGGAAAATCCGGGGCCCCGGGGCCCCATAGGTCGAATGGAAAGCACGATGCAGACCTGAGTGTCCAGGGCCATTCCTGCACTCGCTAGCGTGGCGGCTTCTCCCAGGTATAGCTTGACTGGGGCACTGAGCAGACCTTCTAGTCACATATTCTTGCTTGTGATAGGCTTTTTCTCTCTTTTTTTTTTTTATATATATATTTTATTGATTTTTTACAGAGAGGAAGGGAGAGGGATAGAGAGTTAGAAACATCGATGAGAGAGAAACATCGATCAGTTGCCTCCTGCACACCTCCCACTGAGGATGTGCCTGCAACCAAGGTACATGCCCTTGACCGGAATTGAACCCGGGACCCTTCAGTCCGAAGGCCGACGCTCTATCCACTGAGCCAGACCGGTCAGGGCTAGGCTTATCCTCTTGCCACGATGGGAGACCAGCCAAGGAGATCATCGGTTTATATGCATATAATTTCTGCCAATTTAGTACCTGTTTCTTCATTGCATCCTATGGAACTAAAAATATTCTCTGTTACTGTATAACATAAAACTTCACTGAATCTATCTTTTCTTTTTTTTTTTCTTTAATTTAGAAAATAACCAGGATGGGATTTAATGCCACTTCCTTGTTACAAAAAAGCAAGCTGGGTTTTCTCAACGCCACCAGTTATTGCCGGTAAGTCAGTGCCTCTTCACGAATATTCTTTTTCTGTTTTTTATTTCCATGGTCCAAGAATCCAATCAGGAGACCACATAGCTCATAGCTGCTCTGTGAGGAGCATTCACAATTGAGGAGCTCTAGCTCACAGCCTGCCGTCTGCTGCTGAACCAGCCCTGAGAGAATCACTCCTAGAGCACGGGGCAGACGTCTGCAGGAGGCCAGAGAGAGGCGAGGGGACCTAGGCAGAGAAATTGGGCAGACATTTCTCAGGATGTTTTCTCCGTTACTTATAAATCGTGTTTAGTTTAGTAGTAGGTCTTATCACTTTATTCCTGTGAGATTTCTGCCTCCTTTTCTCTTTACCTTAACAGTTACAAAAAATGGAACATTAAATAGATGTATGTGCACTAAACTTATTTAAGTACGTGTGATTCCTGATATAATTCTAACTAAAGCCCTGTGAGATAGGTGGACACCTCCTCTGGTTTCTGTAAGAGACTGAGGCTCAGAGCGGTGTGATTTTCTCACGGTGAAGCTAGAAAGGATGGGATCTGACTCCCACACCTGAGCTCCTGACCCGTGTTCTGCTGCCTCCCACTCTGTGTGGACAGGGGAAGAAGCACCCTGAGTTTGGGTGGTTTATAGGGGACACAGCTCTCATCTTGGAGCGAGGCCGCCTTCCCTGTAGGCCAGCCCTGCAGGAGGTATGAGGCAGGGCAGGTAGGAACCTGCCTCTCCTTCATTTCCCTAAAAGAGATAAATATCTAGGTAAAAAGACCTGTTCTTCTCCCTAAAACATGCTTTCTCCTTCGTGGAGGGGGAAGGGGCAGTAAGATGGACGGCCGCATGCCTGGGTTCTTCCCACTAGCTGGGTGCGTGCCCTTCGGCGTATTTCATTTCTCAGGCACCTTCTCTTGGTCTCGAGAAAGAGTTGTACCGGCCGGAACCGGCTTGGCTCAGTGGATGGAGAGTCGGCCTGTGGACTGAAGGGTCCCAGGTTCGATTCCGGTCAAGGGCATGTGCCTTGGTTGCAGGCACATCCCCAGTAGGAGGTGTGCAGGAGGCAGCTGATCGATGTTTCTCTCTCATCGATGTTTCTAACTCTCTGTCTCTCTCCCTTCCTCTCTGTAAAAAAATCAATAAAATATTTATATTTTTAAAAAAGAGTTGTACCAGACGATCCCAAAACAGATTCCTCGAGTTCTAACTTTCTTTGACCCTGTAAATGGGCCGCTCATTTCTTTGCTTTAGTTTTCCTGAGAGTTCTAAAATTGGATTTATTTGGGATCTTGCTCATTTCCATTGCTGAGAGATAATAGGGAGAGGGCTAAGGAGGTGAGGTGGTCTTCAGGGTGTGGGGCAGGGCAGACGCTCTGAATCTTCCTCATGGGTGTCTAGGTGTGGTGCCCATGCCCTCCCCGCCCCTCTCTTCCCCCTGCAGTTTAGCCCACGAGCTGCGAGTGAGCTGCATGCAGAGGAAGAAGGTTCAGATTCACAGCTCCGATCCCTCTGCTTTGGCAAGCGACCGATTTAACCTCATATTGGTGAGTGGGAGGGAGCCGCATGTGGATGCGGGGGTATTGCTGCCGTGCCCGACACTTGGTGCCCTGGCACTGGCTCCCATCACGCCTGGCTGTGTAGATGCCAGTTGCATAAAAGCAGGTGTCCACTAGGTTTTATAGTTTTAACAGGCACCTACTGGCTACCCATTGGCAGGTGCCGAACTAGCAAGGAAGGCCACGGCGACCGTTGTCCCCCCTACTACAGCTCTGTCATTTGACATGAGAATCAGGGCCCACCTCACATTGACTGAGGCCCATCAGAAGGGCACACAGTGGTTCAGGAGCTTCTAATCTTCCCTATACTGGGCAGGATTTGGTGGCCAACCCTAGTGCTCCCGTGTCCTCAGTAGCAACAGCACGTTACTCCCTTGCTTGCTATTCTGACCTGAGTAGCAGTGGCCTGTAAGCCTGTGACCCTTGACCTGCACACCCACCCTCATCATGCCATTTACAGGGAGCAAAAATCTCCTCTTCTCTTGGTTAGACCCAGGCTGGAAGCCAGGGCCAACTACTTGAGTCCAGGGTCCAGGGAAATGTTGGCAGAGGATCCACTGCAAACGGCAGGAGCCGGCCTGCTCAGGTAGACTGGGCATTTGAGGTCACAGTAGAGCATGGCCTGCCCAGCAAGCCCTGTCTTTCCTGGAGGCCTGGGGAAAACCCAGGAAAGTGAGACACACACACAAAACAAAGAGTCTCACCCGGCCATTGTGGCTCAGTGGTTGCTTGTCTACCTATAAACCAGGAGGTCAAGGTTCGATTCCCCATCAGGGCACATGCCTGGGTTGCAGGCTCAATCCCCTGTAAGGGGCGTGCAGGAGGCAGCCAACCAATGACTCTCTCATCATTTATGTTTCTGTCTCTCTCTCCCTCCCTCTCTGAAATCAACAAAAATATATATATTAAAAAAAAAGAGCCTCAGCCTGATGATCTCCTAACAGGACCAGGGGCTGAAGCTGCAGAATTGACCCTTGACATCTTGCCCCAGGAGACCTCAGTAGCAGAGCCCTTCCTCATAAGGGTGTCAGGGGCCAGGACTCACTCCCCCCATATGTGTCTGGGGAGACATTTGACCTGAATACTTTCTTGCAGTGAGTTCCCCTCAAGTCATCTCTGCGCTCCCTCACGGACAGGCGCTCTCGCCTGGTGAATACGCAGACACGGGGCTGTGAGAGATGGGCAGATGGTGTGAGGCCTGCGAAGTCACCTACAAGCCGCTTTCCCTTTCCAGGCGGATACCAACAGTGACCGGCTCTTCACCGTGAATGATGTCAAGGTGGGAGGCTCCAAGTACGGCATCATCAGCCTGCGCGGTCTGAAGACCCCCACGCTCCGGGTGCATATGCACGAAAACCTCTACTTCACCAACCGGAAGGTACTCCGCCCTCCCCTTCAGCTTTGCAGCCCACTTGCCTTTGGGCCAGGGGCACTGCAGTGGTTAGCCAAAGTCAGATAGAGGAGAGAACTTTGGGAGGAAGCCAGCGCTCTGTGCCTCATTTCCCCAAGGGAGAAGTGGAGTTGTAGATCCTGAGAACCATGGAGGAAGCAAAGGCCTCAGGAGTTCCTTGTCTTGAAAGAGAGAAGAATTTAGATGTGGGAAGACTTGAAGTGATGCTTCCTTAGCTGGTTGTACGGACTTCCCTTCAAGAGGACTGAGTTGGTTCGAAGGAGCCCACACGAGGCACACAGTTCCTGGGAGGTGGGCTGCAGTAGCCGGGGCGGAGGGTCCTCCCAGTGTGTCAGGACGATGTGTCAGTCGCTCAGCCAGTCTGTGGCTGACACAGGTTTACATAAATGTGAAAAGCTTCATGTCTAAGGGGCAACCTTTAAACTGCAGTGGGGTGACAGCTGCATCTATACGGTGAGAAGCTGTGGCTTTCTGTTCTTTGGGATCTGAGCCACAAGATATGGAAATGGTTTCTGGGTAAAGTGAGAGCCAGTACGCCTTCAGAGTTAGGTGTGTTTCCTGCCATTGAAGAGAGGTCATTCCTGCCCTACAGGGTTTACCAGATGTCTCACTGTGAGGCCCATGCAGGGCTGAGGCCTACGCGCTACCTCCTCCCTGTTCCTCTTTGAGGCTCTAAGTGCTAGGACAGGAGCTTCCTGTTCTCAGAATGCTTGTTCCAGCCCCTTCTAAAGGGGAGATCTATCCCCACAAGTTATTCCACAAGAAAGAATCTGTTTGGCCCCATGAGTTGGTGGTCAGACCAATCTTTCCGTCTTGCTATGTGCTTCCTCACCAGGTGAACTCTGTGTGCTGGGCCTCGCTGAATCACTTGGATTCTCACATTCTGTATCTTTTGGCAGATGAAGAGGTTTGGTGGGGTTTGTAAAGTGGTATCTTAGAAGTCAGAAGACTGGACCCTTCTGCACGTACTTCACTCTTTCAGTAAGAGCACTGCACATGGTAGAAGACAAGGATTCCCATGATGCTCAGGGAAGTAGTTGAGGTCTTGGGGTGACTTTAAGGTCACTATGAACTTTAGCAGAGAATAAAGGAGAAAGGAACAGTAAAATCTTGGGAAGGAACCCCCAATCCTCCTGAAGCAGAGGTAGGAGCAAGAGCTGTAGTCGTCCCGAGGTGGGGTGGGCCTCCTGGGTGGGGGGGCTGAGGCAGGCATCAGAGAAAGGGGGTTCCTTTGGCATGGGGCATGGGCCTGTGGGCTCTGGACCTGGGGTTCCTGCAGAGATGGCCTTTGGAGCACTCTTCATTCTAGTCTCTGCCTTCCCAGAGAGCCATCAGGGCTTCTTTGCTGGGAGCACAATAGTGCAGTGTCAAGGTAGCTGGACCCTTCATCTGGGGTCCATGGGGTTTCTCGATGCATAGGACAACTGTCCGACATGTGATTCACAAAAGAATATTGTATGACCCCAAGCCAAAGCCACATGTTAATGAGTCTTGGCTTGAATCATTTCCATAATAAATGAGTTATTAAAATGATGGCCACTGGTACCCAACACCTACTTCATGAGTTGCCATGCGGTTAACAGTTAACATCTGTGAATGCACTTAGCACAGTGCTTGGCATGTTTGGGTCCTCAACAAATGATGGCTGAATCTGAACCTGTTTTTAAATGTATGACTGACTCTGTTTCAGAGGGTTTTAGAGCCTAAATTAGAGATCTGATTATAAATTTTATATAGACAAAACTGTGTGTTTGGTAAATTGAAAGTTTTATGTGGTTTTCTTTTGGGGTGATGGTACCACCTATGACTGTGAGATGTTACTAGAGGACAGAAGAGGCCAAGCCTTAAAAGAGAGAGAAAACAACAACCTCACTCTCATTTTTAAATTTAAAAACAGTATGGTATTTTATTTCATGTTTCTGTGGGCTGAGAAGAGGATAGAAATCCATGTAATTGGGTTTGAAGAGTATGAAGAGTATGGTCTGTTGCTTGCTCAGCGGCTTGCCCTCTGGTGGTCATCTCAGGTAATCTTCAGGCTTTTGTGCACCTGCTGCTCCTGCTGCAGAACATGGAGCTTGCTTCCTTTACAAAAATGGTACCTTTTGAGACCTGCATTCTGCATTTTCCCCAAAGAGTGGTGGAAGGTTAGACTAAATTCTCTTCTACACTTGCTGGGCTCTTTGTTAGCCTGTGGCCTATTACAGGATTAAATCTACAATTCTGGCCCTGTAAGTCATTCCAAAGTTCGGCTGTAACCTGGGTTTCAACCACGTAACTGAAAGTGCATGTGTAAGGACATTTTCCCCACATCCTTGCCCTCCACACTAGAGATACTTACTGTCTAAGGCAACATGACACACACGCATCAGACAGACTGCCAAAAATGTTGCCTGATTGCTTTGCAAATATTTATATTTTTCGATGAGGTGTGTATGTGTATTCATTCCCCCAGCATCTACTGAGCATATACAATACCTGTGCAAAGTGCTGAAGATGGGCAGCTCCCCAGGTGATCAGTCTGCAGTGATGTCTGTGTTGCAGCTGGATGTAAGAGGGATGCAGGTATTGGGTCAGCCGGCCTGGAGGAGATTCCTACATGGAAAGAAGGGGCCAGTGCTCCATCAGGAGAAAGTCAGGAGACCATGCACATGGGTATCCATGATGTCTCTGGCTAAGGAGGGCCTTGCAAGACTGAATCCTCAGGGATGTGGGATGCCCATGGAAGACTGTGATCATGGAGTCATTTCTTATACAGGCTGACGACGGTGAGACCTCAGACAGAAGGCTGCTGCAAGATTAAGCGGGCAGTGGAGAGGGAATGAGTGATGAGCAGGAGTGGAGGAGAGGCACGCGTCTGAGAGGCTTGGGACCCAGGCCAGGCAGTGCTGGTGTTTGGAAGAGTCCAAAGATGGAACTCCAAGAGAGGTGGTGTGGAGAACAAGAAGTGTGTAGTTAGAAGTTGTGCTGCATGATCACAGGACAGGACTGGAGGGTGTTCATCAGATTCAGAAACGGGCTCATTGGAGACCTTGGGGAGGACACTTACTGGAAAGGTGTCAAACCTGGATTTTAGTGAGTTGAGTGAAAGAAAGGCAAGGAATGGGGATAAATGTAGGTTCTGATTGAGAGAAGTTAGGCTGTGAAGGGAAAGGGAGAGGAACCAAATCAATCAGAAGACAGTACAATAGAAAAGTAGGCAATGAATATAGAGAGACAGTTCAAAAGGGAAACCCACATGACTAATCAGATGAATCAGTACACCCAGTTATGGTTAGGGAAATGCAAATTTAAATAATGGGAAGATTTTTACCCTTTCAGATAAGCACACATTTTCAAAGTCTGATAGTGCCAAGATTTGACAGATGTGGAGAATGGGGAACAGTGCTGGATAAGTGCATTGATATAACCACTTTAAGTTGGAAGTTGGGGATGCAAGAACCTTACAACCCACAGGCCCATCCACTCTAGGTATAGACATAGGAGCAGCTTCCAAGCTGCAGGTCATGGCCTGTCAGTGGGATATGAAAGGAATTTGTGAGCAGCATTTTTAAAGTGAAATAGACTAGAAAATATGAGTTTCATACTTAGTAAGGGCAAATCCTATATAATAAAACCCTAATATGTAAATCAACCGAATAGCAGAACAACTGGTTGCTATGATGCATACTGACCACCAGGGGGCAGGCGCTCAATGTAGGAGGTCACACAGGGGGAGCGCCGCTCAGCCAGAAGCCGGGCAAAGGGCTGGCGAGCACAGTCCACAGCAGCGCTAAGGAGCAGCGAGCCAAGTGGTAAGAAGCAGCGAGCAGGCGGGTGGTAAGGAGCAAGGGGTCCTGGACTGTGAGAGGGCTCTGGGCTGTGAGAGGGCACAGGCCAGCCTGAGGGAAACCACCCCCCACCCCCACCTCTAAACATTTCAGGGGCCAGAACACAAATTTTGTGCACCGGGCCTCTAATATTTTATAAGACTTTTATTTCAAATATTTGTGTGTGTGTGTGGCATGTAGTACTGTAAAATTCTTACTCTGGGATTAAGAAACACTGCCTTAGAAAAGGCTCCCACACATGGGCCTGGGAGACAGGAAGGCACTCATTCCAGCAGAAGAGCAAAAAGAGAAGCAACCATCTAAGTGCCCAGCAGAAGACGAATAAATCAGTTGTGATGCATTTATACAAAGAATGGTGTAAATGAAGGAACTGGGGCTACAAACCTCAACACTGATAAATCTAGAACACAGTGGAGATTGGTCTGTGTGATACTGTTTACATATGTTTTTAAAACAGTAACATTCTTTCTATTGCTCATGGACAAATATGCTATGGCAGGATAACATGGCCTAGAATGCAGACCAATTTTAGAACGGTGCTTCCTTCTGGGTGAGGGAAAGGGAGAATTGGGCTGGGGAGGGGTCAGAGAGGGCCGTTAGCTGTGTCTGTGACATTTTTTCCTTTAAAAACATCTGAAACTAAATACGGGAAATGTGAGTGTGTTCAATCTGGCTTTGCGGGTGTTATTTTTGTAATTTTTTGAAGGGCACGGATGCCCATTCTCCTCCCAGAGGAGAGCTTGTACTTGACTGTCCTTAACAGAGTTTCCAGGCTGTGCCTCATGGGGATCGCAGAGACTCCGGGCTGTGCCACCCTGCTCCCAGCGTCACTGTTCGTCAATAGTCATCCAGGTACCAGGGCCCCCCCTTTTTTTAATAAGGGGTACTGTGACAGAGGTCTCTGTCCTCTGCCTCCCCGAGGCTACAGCCAGCAACACCAGAAGCTCCTTGGCGAAGGATTGGACCAGGAGGGGTGGGAACCACAGGCTGAGTGAACCAGTCAGAGCTCGCAGGGTGGGGACAGCAAGCACCTGTGGGGAGGCCTTACACCTGACCCAGGATTCGTACTGGAAGCATGTGCATCTTTCTTTTTAAAAAATATTTCCATTGTTTTTTAGGGAGAGGGAGAGAGAAACATCAATGATGAGAGAATCATTGATTGGCTGCCTCCTGCACGTACCCTACTGAAGGTTGAGCCAGCAACCCAGGCAAGTGCCCTGACCAGGCATCGAACTGTGCGTAGGACGATGCCCAACTGTCTGAGCCACACTGGTCAGGGATGCATTGGCATCTTTACGTATTTCCTTCTTTTGGGTCATTTCAGGGGCCAGAACACTTAAAAGTATGTGTAATCAATGCAAGAAATCAAAACATTTGAGCTGCTGGTACGGATCATTCACAAAGGTGTGGCCCACTGGTGTTATTAGGGATATTTACATTCTCTGGCTGAAGGCAGTTCAGAATTCTAGACTTCTTCCTGGCAGCATTCTGAAAATTAAGTTTCCAGCCTTTCAGAGAATTAGGATCAATTAGACAAGGGTCAGGCCTCTAAGAGTACAGGCTTCAGGCAGACCAGCACGAATCCCAACTTGAACAGATTACTTAACCTCTGTAGAGTGAAGATGATACCCACCCATCAGGTTACATGGAGTGTTAAATGAAGTCACGTACACTTGGCATAGGGCCTGGCATTTCATTGAACAGCTAGTGTATGGGGCAGGTATTATCACCAAGTTACAGATGAAGAAACAGGCCAAGAGAAGTTCAGAATTTGCCTTTAAAACTAATCTGTGGCCTGATCCATGTGGGTCAGTGGTTGAGGGTCACAGTTTGATTCCTGGTCAGGGCACATGCCCCCTCCCTCACCCCTCACCCCTGCCGGGCTATAGGCTCAATCCCACAAAACATCCTGGGTTTTGTGGTAGCAAAAAAACACCCTGGTTCTCTGGGGTCCCTGGTCAAAAGTGGCTATTCTGAGAATGAATATATAAACCTTTCCTGACGTCCAGAAGAAGTGTCAAAAAGACTAGCAGCTGTCGGGGAGGCAATGTAGAGTCACAGATCAGAGGGCTTCAGTCTCAGATCACATTATTAGATGTGCAATATCAAGCAAAACATTTTTTAAATAAACTTTTTTATTGATAAAACATAAAGGGCACAAATCTTAAGTATATAGTTTAATCAGCTATCACAAGGTAAATATAGCCACCACCCAAGTTAAACGGAATTTCCAATACCCTCCCCATTACCATTTCCCTAAAGGGAACCACTGTCCTGACTTCTGACACCACAGTTTGTTTTTTTGTTTGTTTGTTTTTAAATATATTTTTATTGATTTCAGAGGGAGAGGGAGAGAGATAGAAACATCAATGATGAGAGAGAATCCTTGCTTGGCTGCCTCCTGCATGCCCCTGAGCAGCTGTTCCTGGAGGTTTCCCAAATCAGTGGTTACTGGCATGGCAGCGTGAAGGGAAGGTCTCTGTCCCTCGAGGGCAGCCATGCTGTACACTCACTGCTTCTCTCAGCAGGAGACCGGCCTGGCATGCTCTGCAGTTTCCGGATCCCTGGGGCCTGGTCCTGTGCATGGTCCTCGAACATCCAGGCAAATAACTGCTTCAGCACAGGTGAGCCAGGGCTGCCACCCCAGGCTCCCAGAGAAAAGGATGTTTCAGACCTTAAATCCCCATATCCCACAATCCCTCTCCCAGATTACAAGTGACACTTGTCTCTCCGCCCCATCTCTGTCTCTGTCAGGCTTGTCTCGGTGGGTCCTGGTGACCAACGTGGTGACGGGACACCGGCTGTCGTTTGGGACGAGCAGTGATGTCTTGGCCCAGCAGTTTGCTGTCATGGTTGGTGGGACTGGAAGGGCCTAATACAGTTTCCCAAGAGTGGAAATTTTGCCGGATTGAAATTGGATTCCCGTGTGACAGTTCTTCCTCATCCCCTCCTTTACAGAGGAAAATGGCATGAGGAAGGATTAAGGGTTTCTTAAATGTGTCTTTACTGAATGAAAGTTGACTGATCCAGAGAAGCCTGGCTGAACTGGCTTTAAACAACTTCCTGTTTAAATGAACTGTTAGCAATTCTTATGTAGCACTTGGATTAGCCAATAGGACAAGCAGTTTTTTGTTTTTAATATGTTTTTATTGATTTTTTTAGAGAGGAAGGGAAAGGGATAAAGATGTAAACATTGATGAGAGAGAAACATCAATAGGCTGCCTCCTGCACACCCTCTAATGGAGATTGAGTTTGCAACCCGGGCATGTGCCCAGACTGGGAATCAACTGGGGACCTCTTGGTTCATGGGTCAATACTCAACCACTTAGCCACACCGGCCTGGCAAGCAGTTCTTTTTCTTTTTTTTTAATTTTATTTTTATTGATTATAGAGAGAAAGGGAGAGGGAGAGAGAGATAGAAACATCAGTAATGAGAGAGAATCACTGATTGGCTGCCTCCTGCACACCCCACACTGAGGACCAATCCCGTAACCTGGGCATGTGCCCTTGACCGGAACCGAACCTGGGACCCTTCAGTCCACAGGCCGATGCTCTATCCACTGAGCCAAACTGGCTAGGGCACAAGCAGTTCTTTTAGTATATAAATTAAGTCCCAGTTCATAGTCCTTAATAGTTTCATACACAGCTTTCAAGTTACACATTTTATAAATTTAAAAATCAAAATTCTAGTCTTATTGTATTTCAAAAACTTGTTCCACAGAGGAGGTAGTATGCCAGTCTGCTTCCAGCAGTAAGCACAGAATTCATTAATTCAGGTTTCTTCAGCCATCTTCCCTCTCTATTTAGGACCCCATGTCTTAACTGGACCTCTGACCTCTCCTACTCCATCCTCATCACCCCAGCTTCTCACACGATCTTGGTGGAGACAGGGCGCTATCACTTGGGCTTTAGAGTGAGGCCTAAGGGGCCAGTGCAGCCAGTGGGGATGACCTTGGGGTGACACATGGGGCCCAGTTCTTCTCTGCTTTCATTAGGAACCCTCCCAACTCCACTGAGGCTCAAGCTCTGACCACCCACACCTCTGATCCAGGAGAGCTGGGACGGGGGAGGGCCTCCCGGCCTTAGCGGGAGGTACCAAGCAGTCCCTCTTTCCACAGACTCCTTTGCTGTTTAATGGCTGTCGCTCTGGGGAGATCTTTGCCATTGATATTCGATGTCGAAATCAAGGCAATAACTGGAAGGCCACTAGCTTGTTCCACGACTCAGCGGTGACATCTGTGAAAGTCCTCCAGGAGGAGCAGTGCCTGGTGGCATCCGACATGGCTGGAAAGGTACAGTAGACTGCAGGCAGCTGCTTTGCTGGGAGCCCAGTCTGGTCTAGTCAGATGTGGAACTGGTTCTGGTGCTTTTGATGGAGTCTAGGTCTCAGGAGTTTGAAGCTTAGATTTTTCTAACCGGAAGAGGTGTTTGGAGACCACCTGTCCTCCCTCATTCCTGGGGTTCACCAGTGTACCTGCTGGACCCAGCTTAATGGTCCCTTGTGCTTCTTCCCTCAGATCAAACTGTGGGACCTGCGGACCACCAAGTGTGTAAGGCAGTACGAAGGTCACGTGAACGAGTACGCCCTCCTGCCCCTGCACGTGCACGAAGAAGAAGGACTCCTGGTGGCCGGTACTTGGGGCAGGGGAGGTTCCATCCACCAAATTCTATCCCTTAGGCCCCCAGCATCTGAAGCAGCTGAGGGAGACATGACTTTAAAACAGAACAGAATATAGGGATCGTGGACTGTTGGGATTGGGAAGAGTACATGGGACAGCCCTTTGTTCCCACATCAGCGGACAAACATTTCAGTAACGGGCAGGTCAGGTGCAGTAGCACAGCAGTTTGGGAGACTTGGATGTAGGGTTTACATCTCTTCACCAGGTCAGCATTCAGTGTGACCTTACCCCATTATGCACCTTCCTGTCAAAAAGCTTGGGCTCCCTGTTCTTTGCACGTGTGTGTGTTTGCAGGAGAGGACGCTGGAAACAGAAGTTAAGGCCATTGTACAGAAACTGATGCCTGCCTCCTGTAACACCATCCCTTTGGGTCCATGATTTGTAGAACGGGAAGCAGAGCTGTCTAGCCACTAAGCCCCATCGAAAGCTGTTACAAGAGTATACTGTTTGTGGACAATAGAATATTCTGGCAGCTGGAAGTTTGGTGGTTGGACAAATGAAATAGTAGGCTCTTGACATTAAGGAATCTATTCTCAGCCTTCTTAGATCCTCAAGCTTGCTGCTACTCCTACAGAAAGTACTTCTCCCTGAAACCTTGTTGTGGCTCAGCAGCATCACTTGGTTAGAACTTTCTTAGGCTCCTTTACTACTGTCACCATCAGCAGCAGTTAGCTTCCTTTTAGTCTGTTTTCCACGGGTTTTCAGCTCAGAAGAGTTTAGTGTTCTGGCTAATAGAGAATAGAGACACCTTGTTGACAGGCAGATGGGGGTCGGGGGCCAGTTGCAGTGGTCAGTGACCTGCGCTACCTGAATCCACCCACAGCTGCAGGAGCAACCGGCTGTATGTCCCTCGGGGCCTGCCCTCTTCCCCTGAAGCTCCCCAGGACGCATACCATGTGTCTGGACCACCAGAACCAGTGGTGCTAGTGTCGCATTCCTCATCACTGAGCCCTGACGGCCAGGTGGTCTTGAGAACTAAGCTGTGAAGCCAGAAAGAGCTCTGGGGAGAGCTGCACCTAGTTTGTCCCCAGATGTAATGACGTCATTAGCTCTTCCTGCCTACTGTTTTATAAATAGGAAAGCGGTTGCACGTCATCGAGACCAGGTCGGGGCTGGGCTCCCTCTTGAGCAGCCATTGACACCAAGAGCAGTGCAGTGCCCACCCGTTAGCCGGACAACCAGCAAACTAGTTATGGTTCTAGAGCACCAGGGTGACCCATAACTTTGATTTTCAAAAACTACATATTATCAGTAGAAAAATTTTCCATTTGAGGGTTTGTGTTCTGGCTCCCAGGGAGTATGAGAAGCCATGTACACGAGTTCTCTGCACTCGCTAACCTGCCGCGTGTCTGTCTCCCCTCCCCTCCTAGTGGGCCAGGACTGCTACACGAGAATCTGGAGCCTCCGCGATACCCACCTGCTCAGAACCATACCCTCCCCACATCCCACCTCCAGGACCAACATTCCCAGTGTGGCCTTCTCTTCTCGGCTTGGGGGTGTGCAGGGAGCACCGGGGCTGCTCATGGCCGTCCAGCAGGACCTTTACTACTTCCCTTACAGCTAATTCTGCAGGGAGCAGCCTGCAGGCTTGTGGATTTGACTGAATGGAGTAAAGAGTAGCCATACCTCTGCCGTATGCTGTTTGCAGTGAAGGCATTTTAAATGGATGCTCTGTGTGCACGGATCCCATCCATCCTGCTGCTGCGGACATGAAGGTGCTATGTTTTATGTGGAGACACTTTAGTGATGTATGTCAGTTAAGTTGTGGGCTCAGAGAGCTTGAAAGTCCTTTTCATAAAAGGTACCTATTTCCTTTTGTTGAATTCCTTAGAATAGTCCCTTCCCCCTTTTATAAAACAAAAATTACTTTTTCTAAGGGCTGAAGATTAGCAATACCTAAATTAAAGCTTCTTTTACCAAAAGCCCTTCCAAGAAGCCTAATGAGACTGATAGGCTAGTCCAGGGGTGGGCAAACTTTTTGACTCGAGGGCCACAATGGGTTCTTAAACTGGACCAGAGGGCCGGAACAAAAGCATGGATGGAGTGTTTGTGTGAACTAATATAAATTCAAAGTAAACACCATTACATAAAAGGGTACGGTCTTTTATTTCAATAGTTTTATTCATTTCAGACGGGGCAGATCCGGCCCAGGGGCCGTAGTTTGCCCACGGCTGGGCTAGTCAGTGCCTGGGTCCCAAAAAGACATGCATCTGTACTTGAGAACGCCAGCTGGAGAGAAGGGGAAGAGGAAAGTCCTTTTCCTCAAGTTTCTAGAGAAAGATTTGAGGCTGGAGTTTGGCCTTCTCACACTCAGTATCAGGAACAAATGTTTGGGATTCTCCTTTATCATTCACGGGCATTGGGCAGAAAGGTGGATCATTTTAGAGCAGTGGTTCTCAACCTTGGCTGCACATTAGAATCACCTGGGAATCTTTAAAATCCTGATTTCTGGGCCTCATTCTCCAGAAATTCTGTTTCTTTGTTATGGGGTGGGGCCACAACATTAGTAACAAAGAAACAGAATTTCCGGAGGATGAGGCCCAGAAATCAGGATTTTCAAAAGGTTCCCAGGTGATTCTAATGTGCAGCCAAGGTTGAGAACCACTGTTTTAGAGGCTAGTAGAGCCGCTAGAGGTTTTAAGCAGGCCTTCGCGTGCCTTTTGTTGAGGCATCCTTCAAAATGTTAGCCACTGCAGCTCCTGTTTCTATCATGGGGACTTGAATGTCAGATTCAAGGGCCCCAGCTCAAAGAAAATAGGCGTTGACTTTTTTACTGTCTAAGAGAAGCAGTTTGTGAGATGTTTATACCAAATGTTAAAGAGCATGTCTTTCTACCAAACAATAAACCAGAAAGAACCTTGGTATGGTCGTTGATATTAATGACTTGATCATGGTGCTTGGCTACTGTAGGGACAAACCAGCTGCACGAACATGTACTTAAATCTTGGGTGAGGAAAAGGGGATAGATCAGCCCTAATGGCTTTGCTGGGGAGCTTTCATTTGCCCACAGAGCCACCTGTGTGCCCTTTTCACCTGCTCTTGTGTTCCCCAAGCTGACCTCTTGGCTCCCTAGCCATAGTGGGTTTAGCCAGGAGGACCTACCAGTAGGAAAGCAAAGAGCAGGAGAGATGGGATTGTTGTCCCTGGCTCCCCTCCTGCTCAGCTGTGGCTGCATTCCAACAGCTTCTGTTGGAACACAGCTCTCTGGGTTCCAGGAACTTCTCTCCATTTGTCCCTTCAGACCTACAGCTGGTAGTTGCACCTCACTGCTGCTAGCCCAGAATGCTTCAGCTACCCCCGTGAGCATTCATCTGCTTCCTGCCAGAACTCAAACTAATACAACTTAGTGTACAGAGAAACACATCAAAAGAAAAACAGATGAGAATGATTGGTCATCTGCTAAATGGGCTACATGGTAGGTTTTAGTGCCTCATATTTTATAAAGACCTTTACCATCTTACCTGATTTGATTCTAATAACTACACATAAAGGAGGTAGGACAGTATTAGTAATATGAAAATTACTAGCATCATTAATAGGTAGAGAAGTCCACGCACAGATGTTGAGTGGCTTGCCTCAGATCACAGACCTTGTTAGTGGAGAATTGGGACTTGGAACCGGAAGACCTGAGACCACGTTCTCTATTTTTCATGCTCCTCCCGTCACTGACCATACTTGCCATTATAACTGGTGGTCTGGAGAAATCAGGAAGTGACTCGGTGCAAGCATAAACACGCGATGCTAACATTTCATGATACTTAATCACCAGGTAAATGAAATTTTCTGGCACCAGTGGGTAAGAAGCTTGCTAATTCTTCTGTGTTTAATCATTTAGATTTGTCCCTGTATTGGCAACCCTGGCATACTGGCCTGTACATGGGTCCCAGGAAATAATCTATATGATTGAAGGGTCCAGGTGGCCACTTACTGCAGTCTCTTGGAGTAACTTTGGTGACATGCCCCTGCCCAAGAGCACAAACAAGCATAATAAATGCTGAGTCATGACCTTAACATCCACATACTTTTGTTCTCTCAAGATCTCAGTTAACACAATACACAAGTTCATTCATTACAGGATCTGCAATTTAGAATCACTGGTTACTGCACGTCCACTGCAGAGCTTCCCCCACTACCAACAGAGTTCTGTACTATGTCCGTGGAGCCCAAAGCCCACGGTTGGCTACTCAGTTCAACTTCGCTCTCTCCCCAGACAGTGGAGACATTCTGACTACTCAAGAGAATACCAGGTGAGTTTTGACAAGCGTGGCCCTAGCACCGTATAACTTCTCTTACCAACATAGCCCAAGTTCTTGTTAAGTAAATACATTTGTTGAAGAACCATTTTAGATTTTCATTAGGCTTTATTTTTAAAAAGTGGGAAGCTTTCAAAGTTCTAATTTAAATTTAGCAATTTATTCTTGATCTCTAGTTAGCAGTCACTGCTCCTAACATTTAGTCTAGGTTGTATGAAAAGCAGTTAAACTTAGCTGAGAAGTTGATTAAGCATTTTGATCTGTTTGCTTATTAACATAGTATTCTAAAGATTAGTATGTTACAAGCGGGCCCTATAGCTCAGGGGTTAGAGCACTGGTCTTGTAAAGATTAGTATGTTACAGTCTCGAAGCATTTTTCACTTGCATGTCTATTAGGCATTTTGCCTTGTTCCCCAGGTAGAGAATGAGCAGGCAGCGGTGACAGCAGCCCTGAGCTATGATAAGCCCTTTGTCAAATGGCCTCGTGTTTGCTTGCTTGTAGCCTTCTATAAAGAAATGAGAACAATGGCACATACTGGCTATCAAAAATGCCCTCAGATAAACACGTGCCTCACACACCATCCTGCTGGGTAGCCACCCTAGAATTCAGCTGGCCCCACAGGTTCTGGAGGCTACTCAGAATCAGTGTCCCTGGGAGCATCCTTTGAGACCAAGTTAGTCCTACTTACCTGTCAGCCCTACATCTGTCCTGGTCTAGATCTTTCACATAACCATCTCCGAAAACAACTGCAGGCTAAACTCAGTTTCTCCTTCCATATCCCCATTAGTTGATGTAAAAAGCATCTAGGCCAGGGGTGGGCAAACTTTTTGACTCGAGGGCCACAATGGGTTCTTAAACTGGACCGGAGGGCCGGAACAAAAGCATGGATGGAGTGTTTGTGTGAACTAATATAAATTCAAAGTAAACATCATTACATAAAAGGGTACGGTCTTTTATTTCAATAGTTTTATTCATTTCAAGCGGGCCGTAGTTTGCCCACAACTGACCTAGGCCCACTCCTTTAAGTCTGCCTCTCCAGGCCTCTCACTGCCTGGCTAACACTTCTCCCTTCAACAGCTTCTTGTGCCTCAGAATAAAATGTGTGTTCTTTTGAGATTTGATCACATATGCCTCATCCTGTTGCCCCATCTCCACCTTCCACCTGGTGCTCTCAGGACACACGTTTCAAGTTCCTCCCTTACCTGCTCTCTGCTCAAACTATCCTCCATTCCTTTTCCTCTGAAAAGTCCAACTATTAAGCTTGGCCGATGTGGTTCAGTGGTTGAGCATTGACCTATGAACCAGGGGATCACGGTTTGATTCCCAGTCAGGGCACATGCCCGAGTTGCAGGCTCAATCCCCTGGGGGGCGGGGGGGCATGGGGGCATGCAGGAGGCAGCAGATCAATGATTCTAATCATTGATGTTTCTATCACCCTCTCCCTTCCTCTCTGAAATCAATAAAAATATAAAAGGAAAAAAAATGAATCCATAAATAAGTGGAACAACAAATCAGTGTCTCCCATCCTCTTGCTCTAAAATCAATAAGAGGTTTTTAAAAACAACTTTATGCGGAGCATTATCTCAATCCATTAAGTTTTGCTTCCCAGCAACTGTTGACAATTTGGCTCAAATTCACACAAAAAAATCTAAAAAACAACTTCATGTAGCCCCTCCCTAAAGGAGGGCATGGGGAGGAACTAATCTGTGCTAATGCATGTTGGGATAGTGCAGTGGTCGGCAAACCGTGGCTCACAAGCCACATGCGGCTCTTCGGCCCCTTGAGTGTGGCTCTTCCACAAAATACCATGTGTGGGCGCGCACATACAGTGCGAAATTGACTTAAAACTTTAAAGTTTATTAAGTTAATTTTAGGGAACATTGTGGAGTGAAAGAAGATGTAGTGTCGAGGATTGAGAAAGGTATGTTGAGATGGTTTGGACATATAGAGAGGATGAACGAAAGGAGATAGACGAAACAAGTATACAAGACGAGTGTGGATGGGAGAGTTGGAAGGGGTCGACCTCAGCGAACATACCTCAATCAGATTGAGGACATTTTTAGCAAAGGCCAGCTTAGGAGTACCCTAATTAAGTTAATAACAATGTACCTACCTATATAGTTTAAGTTTAAAAAATTTGGCTCTCAAAAGAAATTTCAATCGTTGTACTGTTGATATTTGGCTCTGTTGACTAATGAGTTTGCTGACCACTGGGATAGTGGATACTCCTGCTGTGAGGAGGGACCAGGAGTTCCTGGGGTGTAGTTATGTTGTTTCTTCATCCGGGCGCTGGTTGACTCTATGTTCAGTTTCAGAAAAATAATCAAGCTGAAATGTGTATGTACACTAGAGCTCAGTGGGGGTTTTTAGGCCTTTGTTTTCATTCTGTATTGAGCTGGCTTCCACCTGATACTAGGCTGAGGCTAGGACTGGATGTGTGGAGTGAGAAGACAGAACCTGGTGTGACTCTGACACTGGGTTCCCTTCCTTTCCTGTTGGTCTGACTAGTGTGAGGAAGGAAGTTCAGAATACTGTTCTGCGTCATTCCTGTGGCTAGGCAGACTCCCATGCTCAGGGGCGCCCCCGCATGTACAAACAGCAAGTCTAACAGGGCCACACCCTATACATCTCTCCCCTAACCCTCCACACCAGAGGTCCTCAAACTTTTTAAACAGGGGGCCAGTTCACTGTCCCTCAGACCGTTGGAGGGCCGGACTATAGTTTAAAAAAAAAAACTATGAACAAATTCCTATGCACACTGCACATATCTTATTTTGAAGTAAAAAAACAAAACGGGAACAAATACAATATTTGTATTTGCATGTGGCCCGCGGGCCGTAGTTTGAGGACCCCTGCTCCACACCCTGCCCACTGACCCAAGTAGAGAGAAAAGAAGAAAAGGGACCCTGAGCAGGAATGAGAAAGACAAGGGAAGAGAAGATGGGGCAAAGAAGAAGAGAAGGGACAAAGACCAAAGTGTAATTAATAGCCACCAGAATGAAGCAACAGTGGAGGATCGACAGGAGTTGGACAGACAGGGCAGGGGAATGACAAAAATTCCACCACCACCACCACCCACCCACCCACCCACCCACCCTGTTTCCATATGTCTCTAGTAACACTTGCCTCCTCTGTGAGGGCGGATTCCCCAGGGAATGTGAGCCCACAGCCACCAGAGTGAAACCCTCAGAACACAAGTTAAGCAGCTGCTACCACGG